AAAAGTAAAGTCTCCTCAACAACTTTTGACCACCTTCATTGCAGAATAGGGTTAGAGTTACTAGAGCACATGGCTGAGGTAGTATCTGTTTTGACCAGTAGGTGCTAACTTACTGAACTTGTGCTTTTGTTATATGGTTTTACAGTGTTATAGGGAGAAGAGATTTTTGTTTGTTTTTTAATCTTCTCAAAAAAAGATTGTAAGGTTAACTTTATGAGATAGCTCTATTATTGACCATTACTACTATTTTGAAATTTCAGAATTTCTATGATTAATTTTCACTATGTTCTTACCATGAATGATGTGAATATCCACATTTGCTGGGTCAAGAGACAAAACTTTAAGAAGTTGAAGAACTGGCTTAAATATCTCAGAACTAAAAATCAGTTTTCCTTGGACTGATATTTTCTCCAGTACTTGTTTATCACATATATACAAAAGGTTCCGTTCTGATTTCAAAACACAGAAACAATAGAAATTATATCAAATATTGGGTAATACTTAGCTTCTGTTGAAAATTGTGCAATTTTATAATAAAACTGTTCCCACAGAAGACTATGGGAAAATATTAAAACACAGGATATTTTATAGATTATTAGTAAATGGTGCTCCTTATACACACTCTTGCAAAGAATACTTTATTGTAACCCACTGTTATCAATCTGAAGTTAACCTTTATCCAAAGTAAAGGGCAAGCTATCCAATACCTATCATGTATTTATCTTATTGCAAAATCTTAGAACATAGAATTAAAATCATCCACACAATAAAAAGCCAGAAACTCATGCATAACCATCCACTGAGTTTCCATTTAAGCAGACATAAACTAGATCAGCTGTATTTATTTGTTTTAAATTGGTAATATTTCTAAAATAAAATATATTCACTCAACTGGGAAACTTCCCTTCTCAGAGAATGGATTAATAAGTGTTGGACATTTCGACAATAGTGAAAAATGCATCAACTTGGATGAATCTCAGAAAACATAATGTTGGGTCAAAGAAGCCACAAAATATTATAGTACAATGTCATTTATGTTGAGCTCAAAAACAAGCAAACCACCTACAAATGTAATAAACTAAAATAGAAAATGCAAATGATAGACTTTTAAAATATTTATTTATTTTTACATATTTAGTTGAGTTACCTGGCTAGTGGCCATCTTACCAGTTCCAATCTGCACAGTAGTAAAATAACTCAGTTTTACACAATACAATGTGGAAAATATTAATTTTCAAATTGTTCTGATTTATTTTATAACAGGCCTTACTCCTGGAGGAACTAGAGGTTCCTCTAGTCTGGAGGTCTGGAGGAACTAGAACTATCTTACTAATCCAGGGTCTCCTCTCTCCAGGAACTGCCCATGTTAGAGCAGTTTCCCTCTGCTCTCCCACAGCCTTACTAAAGCACTCTCAAAGGGACTGACTCTCAGAACTAATCCACATCCAAATTACCCTCCAGATTTAGGAAACAAAACACATGTTGACATTTTCTAAAGGCCTATTACATTCTTTGGGCCAAAACCTTTTCTGCTTTGGCATCATTTGGGATTTATGATCCTCTTTATAAGAAAAGTCCCTTTCAAATTTAAAAATATGATACTAATAAGTGTTAGAAAACTTTCAGTCACTTGGTGAATACCCTAAAGCTCTCTTCTTTCTGATTTTTGTATGTTTACCTGTTAACAATGGAGCACATTTAAGTCCATCCTGTCATTCTAAGAGTGAGGAGGGAAGAAGTCAAATGATCTGAACATGGTGTGTCTAGGATAGGAAAGGGAAGGGGTAAACAGTAAATACTCTAAGCCTGTAGTGGTGACCCTATGGCACCTCTGTTACTGTTTTCTTTTTAAGACAAAAGATATTAATATAGAGTTGTTGTTGTTGTTGTTTTCTTCTTTCTTTTGTTTTGGTTTTTTGAGACAGGGTCTCACTATGTAGTTCAGGCTGGCCTTGAACTCATTATGGAGCCCAGCCTGGCCTCAAACTCACAGTGATCCTCCTGCCTCAGCCTCCAAGTGCTGGGATTACAGGCCTGCACCACCACTCCCAGCAAGAGTTGTTTTTTCTAAACTAAAACTCTGTATTCAGGTTTAATTGCAGTGTTGACACTTTGCGATAAATGAGTGGGTTTCAGGTTGCAGTTTGGCAGTCGTCTCTAAAGGGTTCACCATCACCGTTCTAGGCTTTGTTTATTGCATATAGAGTACATAGGTGTGAGTGGCCATTTCTAGTTGTTTAAAAAAAGTGTTAAAAGAATAACAACATTTGGTGAGAGTCTTAGCAGAAATAGTCACCAGGTGTCAGGGGGCAGAGACAATCCAGGCAGAGGGAGTTCCCTGACAGCCCTGTGTATATCTGGCTGGAGTGAGTGGTGCATTGGGGACACGCTGTGAATGATGAGGTTACTTACCCAACTGGATCATGGGGTGCCTTTATCAGTCATGCCAGGGAAGTTGGACTTCTGTAGTTTACAACAGTGATTTTCAAACATATTTTAGCCTCACAACAAAGCTTTAGTGGAAGCTCAGCATATTAAACATAACTTTAGAGGTAAATAACCTAAAAGGTAACTCTTCCACTTAGTAGAAAACAAGAGACCATGTCCCTACTGTGCAGTAACCTCAGAAGGAGATCCATAAAACCCTCAGGCTCCAAGGTGATACCCTTTGCAAATCACTTCTGATGGGACAATGAAGAGTTTTAAGATAGGAAGTCACACATTCTGCTTTTTTTTTTTTTTTTGGTACCAGGGATTGAACTCGGGTCCTTGCACTTGCACTGCAGGCAGTGAAACCGCTGAGCTAAATCCCTGGCCCATATTCTGCTTTTTTATTTAGATCACACAAGGTGAAAGGGTTCTGAGGAAGACGCCTGGGAGCAGAAACTAGTTAGAAGATTCTTGCAGCTGTACAGATTAGAGGTGCTGAGGATTATCCTGGAAATAAGAAGACAGTAGTAAGGAGGAAAGCACATTAAAGAAAACGTGTACAATTCAAAGTCGGAGGGGAAGTGGGAAAAGAAGTAGTCTGGAGTGATGCTCACCTTTCTGCCTTGGGTGCTGGGTGAGGATAGTGTCATTATCAAGTAATGGCAGTAATAATCATGTATTGAACTTGCATTGTGCTAGCTTACAGAATCCTTTAACATGCATCTCTGTGTCCGTTCACTGTCAGTCACCTCTTAATGCTTTTATAGTGTCACTTTTGCTCTTGGCCTCCATTCTCGTGGACCTAGAAAGCATTGACTTTGTTCACTAGGCTTCCTTTTAAAAGCTCTTACTCCTTTGATCTCTTGGACACCTGATCCTCCATATTTTTCTCTAGTTCTTCATCCTCCTATCTTTACATATAGGTATTCCTCAACTGTCTGAACCTATCTCTTATTCTTGTGTATACACCCATTCTTGTGATTTCAATGATCTCAACAAAGATTTTTCTCTCACACACCCTGTCCTGTTTTCTGAACTTCAGTATTATGTTTCTAGCTGCCTACTTGACAACAATAACTAAAAGTTCATCAAACTTTGTCTGGGTCTAGGCATTGTCCTCCATTTCTGTTTCTGTCTCTATTAACGACTGCCTTTATCACTATCTAGACCTCAGAGCGTTAACTTGTATTTGAATGTTTCCTTCACTCAAACCTGATTGTTTATCAAGTTCTTTGTGTTCAATTTTCAGAACGTCATTTACCTCTATTGCTTTCTATTTGTTACCACTGTTCAAGTTTAGATTCTTACTACCTCTTACCTAAATCATCTCAGTACCTCTTCACCTGTCCCTTTCCTTTAGGATCTGTTCCTGCCCATGTGATCTTTCTAACATGTACCCTTTTTTTTCCTCCATTGCCTAAAAGCTTCACTAGGCCCAAACTACCAGTGGCATAGAGGTCATTTCCTTCTTCTGGAATTCAGTCATAGGATCGGACACAATTTTACTAAAGTTTCTTACTACTATGCCCCATCTTACACCTCACTTTCCAGACAATTATCCATGATGCTTACATACTTCCTATGACCCACTTCCAGTGCTTTATCCAGAGCTTCACTACTCCCAGCTCCATATATTCCAAACACTGCATGATTGCTAAAGTCCTTCCCATATGCTTGACATTGCAGTAACGTGCTTCTCTTTTGAACTCCTGTAGCACTTTATCTGTCTCTGGCCCTAGTCACTCTCTATATTCTACACACGTACATTCTTTTCCCCTAATAAACTGTGAGCTCTTTTAGGTCATGAATTATTCCTCAGCCTTTCTTGTTTTGCATTATGTGATTAATTTATATAAAAGTAAATAATATCTTATAGCAACTCAGTCAAGTAAGCAGGGCAAGTAACAGTCCCTTTTGAATGTCAGGAAAAAACTCAAAGAGATTGAGAGATTGCCTAAGGCCTATTGCTCTATAGTACCCAAATTCTAGCTGAAACATAGTTACATGTGGTTTTTCAAACATTGAAACCAAATGTGTTGCATTGTACAGTACTGCTTCTCCAGCAGTTGACATCAAGCAAGATAAGACATGTAAGTAGGATATGAATTGTCCAGAGGACTAAAATTTTAGAAAAGCCCTTAAAGAGTATACCTTTCTGTCATTTTTGAGGATAGTAGTCACATAGTAACTCATCGCTTGATTTTTAGAAGACAGGGAGGGAGGGAGGGAGAGGGAGGCAGAGAAGGGGAGAGACAGAGAGAACACAAGAGTAACATGGAAACAGTATTTTCTCAAGTTAGGGAAAGAATTAATTAAAGAGGAGAAGACAATTGGAGATGCTTCACAAAGTCCAGACCCTGAGGTTAGGACCAGACCACTTGACTCCAGTCCTTTTGTACATGTGCTGTCAGTGATTTCCAGTCTTAAAGCATGATGGCACACAGGTTGGGAAGATCCTTGAAAACTTAACTGCTTTACTGTCTGCATATTCAGTAATTTCCTTTCTAGAAATTATTTTTATATCTAAGGTTTTGTTACATTCTAATAATCCTTTTTTCTCTCTTTACCAGAGGAAGAAGAGGAGCAGGTGCCCACTGATGGGGGCACATCAGCAGAAGCCATGCAGGTTCCCCTGGAAGAAGATGATGAATTTGAGGAAGAGGAAATTATTAATGATGAGAATTTTCTGGGTAAGAGACCATTGGACAGTCCCGAAGCTGAAGAGATGCCTGCCATGAAACGACCACGGCTTTTAAGCACTAAAGGAGACACCCTTGATGTAGTATTATTGGAAGCTCGAGAACCACTCAGCTCAATAAATACACAGAAGATTCCACCAATGCTTTCTCCAGTCCATGTGCAGGACAGCACTGACCTAGCACCTCCATCACCCGAGCCGCCAATGTTGGCTCCAGTAGCAAAATCACAAATTCCAACTGCAAAACCATTAGAAACAAAGGCATTTACACCTAAAACAAAGACCAAAACTAGTTCTCCGGGACAGAAAACTAAATCACCTAAAACTACTACCCCATCACCAGCAATAGTTGGAAGTCCTATTCGGTCACCAAAAACTGTATCCAAAGAAAAGAAATCACCTGGACGTTCCAAGAGCCCCAAAAGTCCCAAGAGCCCCAAGATTATGACTCATATTCCCCAACTACCTATGAGACCTGAAACACCAAATAGAACTCCTTCAGCTACAGTAAGTGAAAAAATTAGTAAAGAGACCATCCCAGTAAAACAAACACAGACTCCCCCTGATGCTGGGAAACTGAATAATGAAACTCAGCCGAAAAAGGCTGTTGTAACAGATAAAACAATTGACGACTCTATTGATGCTGTAATTGCACGAGCCTGTGCTGAACGGGAGCCAGATCCTTTTGAGTTTTCTTCTGGGTCAGAGTCGGAAGGAGACATTTTTACCAGCCCTAAGAGAATTTCAGGTTCAGAGTGTACCACTCCAAAAGCTTCCACTTCCTCAAACAATTTCACGAAATCAGGGTCCACTCCTCTCCCTCTTTCAGGTGGAACTTCAAGTTCTGATAACTCATGGACAATGGATGCCTCAATTGATGAGGTCGTACGGAAGGCAAAACTGGCAACACCTTCCAATATGCCTGCCAACTTTCCTTACATCTCTTCGCCATCAGTTTCTCCTCCCACTCCTGAGCCTCTCCACAAAGTATATGAGGAGAAAACCAAGCTGCCTTCCTCTGTGGAGGTAAGGAAAAAGTTGAAAAAAGAGCTAAAGACTAAATTGAAAAAGAAAGAAAGGCAGAGAGATAAGGAGAGGGAAAAAGACAAAAGTAAAGAAAAAAGAGAGAAGGATAAAGTGAAAGAGAAAGAAAAGGAAGCTGGCAAGGAAACAAAGTACCCATGGAAAGAATTTCTTAAAGATGAAGATTCGGATCCCTATAAGTTTAAAATAAAAGAATTTGAAGATGTTGATCCAAAAGTGAGATTGAAAGATGGAGTTGTGAGGAAAGAGAAGGAGAAGCATAAAGATAAGAAGAAAGATAGAGAAAAAGGTAAAAAAGATAAAGATAAGAGAGAAAAAGAAAGGGTTAAAGAAAAAAGTCGAGAAGATAAGGTGAAGGCGCCATCAACACCACTGGTATTGCCCCCAAAGGAAATGGCTCTGCCCCTGTTCAGTCCTGCTGCGGCAGTGAGGGTCCCCTCCCTGCTGCCTGCCTTGTCACCCATGCTCCCAGAAAAACTGTTTGAGGAAAAAGAGAAACCTAAGGAGAAAGAAAGGAAAAAAGACAAAAAGGAGAAGAAGAAAAAGAAAGAAAAGGAAAAGGAGAAGAAAGAGAAGGAAAGAGAGAAGGAGAAGAAGGAGAGAGAGAAGAGAGAAAAAGAAAAGGAGAAACACAAGCATGAAAAAGTAAGCAGTTTATTATTTTCGACACTAGCTGAACAAAAAAGTCCTAGTGAAAAATACAGGGAAACAATGCCAGCAATTATATCTGTATTCTGGATGTAAATCACCTGTGGAAATATGCTTGTAATGAGGTTACAAAGTTTCATCTTAATTCTAAATCCCATAAACTTGTAATCAAGCCCACATGCACAAAAAGATACTAAAAATGCATAGTTTAAGAGGAATCTAATCACGTACTGCAAACCATTAACTATATTAATCTCTGGAAGTTCTTTAAATCTGTAATGTTAACCTGTGAAAGATGTTTTTGTTAATTATCAAGTCTACTACATACTATGTTTTACTTACTATTAGATACCAGAAAAAGTACCCATTTTTCTGAGCTCGTGAAACTATATTCCTCCTTTAAGAGAATAGCAAGGTCCAGGGAAGGACTATTGAATCAACTTTCTTTCTGGAGAGCTGTTCTGTCATTTATCTAGGGTTATGGGGCTACGTGCCGTTCATGCCTTCTTCTTTCCATGTTTTGCTTTAAGAAGATTAAATCTTATTTTGGAGTATCTAGCCCAAGCATCTTGGCTGACCTAGCAGTCTGTTTAGTGAGCAGAATTAATTCCACATAGTAGAGATGTTTTACCATGTCAATAGAAATCACACTTTCATTGAGTCCTCCCAGAGAAATTGGTCAAATCCTGTGGTTTTTGTAGGAACCAAGACTTAGATCCTGTGGGCATAGTATATGGCCTCTGCTGCTGTAACTTTGCTCTTCCTTTCTGACTTGAGATTATTGTAGCAGTTGGTTGGTTGATTTAAGATTTTCCTTTAAACTTTCTAAAAAAGTGATAGTGCCCCTCAGCGATTTCTTTCCCTAGCCTCTAGAAGCAGTCCTCTTTGTTAAAGCTTCACAACAAAGATAATATCCAGTAATTTTTTTCCGTACTTAATATGATCCAGTGGACCTACAGCAGATTTATTACCAGTAGTTTTGCAATATTTTTACCTTCAGACTTACCTCGAAAAATTAGTTTGGGTGACAACAGTGATGGTACCTCTCACATTTTTCTGCCTAACTGTATTCTGTCTTTTTCTTCCTTGGCTTTTCTGAAATACAGAGGTAGAATGGAAACTTTGATGTCAAATAACTGAACATGAGCAAGCTAACAAAACACAGAAACCCAACTTTTATTTCCATTTTTTAAAATAATTTTCATTATCATATTATGTTATTTTTATATACAACTCCTCGGGTTTTAAAGCACTCTCACACATTTTATTTTCTTCTAACATACCTATGACAGGGCCAGGGATTTAGCTCAGTGGTTCCAACACCTGCCTCACAAGCGCAAGGTCCCAAGTTCAATCCCCGTACCAAAAAAAAAAAAAAAAATACCTATGACATAGATCCAGCAGGTACTGGCATCAGTATTTTTGAATTGAGAAATTGACCCTGAGAATGACTTGCTCAAGATCATGGTCACACCTAGCAAAGGCCAAGTCACTTATACCACAGATACTTCACATTTTGAAATGTTTATTGTTAGAGATGTTGTCTGACAATTAGTTATTTATCCATCATGTACCTAGTAACTTGGCAGCTGAGCGCTCAGTAAATCAAACATGGTACTGTTGCTTTCATCACCATCTTACCTTTGGAAAGACAGTAGTAAAGCTCATCAGATTACGATTTAATAGCAGTCTGTGACTTTGAGAAGGAAAAGTGTCTCAGTCCGTCTCTATGGGAAGCAAAGCTTTGGTTACTAGTAGCACGGATTTCACCTTACAGAGGATACAAGACCCAGCATCAGTTTTGATGGGTTATGGATCAGAGAAATGACAAAAGTCTACCCGTGTTGTCAGATACCTTATCAGAATTTAACATAATAATTCTGCCTGTCGAATTAGACATGAATTCAAATCCTAACTTTTGTGAAACTGGGCATGTTGCTTATAGGAGGATCGGGTGAGATAACATACCAAATGTGCACACGGCCACAGCTGGCACATAAGCAGACACCGTCTTGGGAGGTACCATTGATGGTGGTGATGATGGTGGGGTTATTATTCCATTTTGAATCAACCTATAAAGTTGTAGAAAGTGAGAGTTTGCCACTTCTTTGGACCATAGTAGCCAGTCTGGCAGTACAGGTGAAGCAGCTGTTGTTACACCCTTTTAAGAAGTTTCTGTTTTCTTAGTATTTTTAAAAGTTTTGTTCTTTATATGGAGAAGAAATAATAAAGGGTAGTACAGCTCATGGCAGTGCCATTGACAGGAAGTGGATATTAGCGTGCACATTAGATTTCTGTTTGCAGCCCCACTAGGCTCCCCCAGATATCAAGCAAAATGAGTTATTGAAAGTATGCCTAAATTGGAGTATACGTAGGTATGCTTAATCTATGGCCTCTGAGTTTTTTTAGATATCCACAACAAAGTTAAATTTAAATATCTTCCCATGTTTATTTTGCCCTACACACTGGTCCCTCAGTACTAGGGATAAGTGAAGATTCCACTAATTAAACAAGTGTTTGCCTGGTGAGTGAAGGGAGCTTTGGGCTTTGGAGTGCAGCACACCTGGGATAAGATCCCAAAACTATGTTTTAGCTTCTTTAACCCTTAGATATTTCATCTTTAGAGATAATGATAGCAAAGTAGTAATACTGTAGTTAACATTGCTATAGTAATTGCTATACTAATTACTGTAGTAATTGCTATGTGTTGAGAACTAGTCCTTCCTGAGACCCTCTGAGGTGGGCACTATAATTAATGACTATCACTTTAAGATGAACAGTTGAGGCTTAGAGGAAAACACTTGACCAAGATAACATACATAGTAAGTAATTGAACAGGAGCCAGAATTTCAGTCCAGGCCAGCAAGATGCTGTAATTAATGTTTCCAGCCACTGTGCTTTCCTACATTAAGTTAAAAATGGGAGCCAGGTGTGCTGGGTGGCACATGCCTGTAATCCCAGCATGGGGCAGGGGGCGGGGGGTAAGTGAAGCCAGCCATGGTGGCTCACATTTGTAGTCCCAGCACTTGGGAGGCTGAGATAGGAATATTGTGAGTTTGAGGCCAACCCGAGACCCTGTCTTAAAAAACAGACAAAAAAAGGGCTAAGTGAAATAATGTATGCATCCTTTAAGTTCCCCTTTGTGATGAGTAATACGCATTTATCAGGGTTAGGAGTCTGATCTGTCACTTAAAATGGCACCAAACTAGCTTTTAAAGAAAACTATGTTAAGAGCAGTTATGCTACTATGTACCATAGTAGCTTTAGCAGTGATCAATCTAATGGTACATTTCAGAGCAGTTTAAAATTTTCCTTAAAATTTTGTTTCTGTGCATGTCAGTGTATATATTCTATAATCATTTATTTCAAACCATGGATCTTTGAGTTCAGATGAATGTACAGATTATTTTAATTAAAAATTACTCTTTGTATTTTAAGTACATTTTGCATGAAGGATCATTATGAAAAAAATAAGAAAACATCTTGTTATTTATGTTATTGGAATTGGACCTTTGTACCTATAATCTGTTGTTTGTCTTGTTTGATATTTTTTGTGGTGTTAGGGATCAAATCAGGGCCCCATCACATGCTGAGCAAGCATTCTGCCATGGAGCTATACCCCCATCTGTGTCTATAATCTTTTTTTTTTTTGGGGGGGTACCGGGGATTGAACTTGGGTCCTTGTGCTTGTGAGGCAGGCAGTGGAACCACTGACTAAATCCCTGGCTCTTTGTGTCTATAATCTTAAATAGAAAATAAGCCACAACCCATGTGTCAAACAGACGAATGCAATTTGTTTTTGTGGTGCTGAAGAGCAAACCCAGGGGCTCAAACTTGCTAGGCAAGCATTCTACTACCTCTGAGCTACATCCCCCACCCCTTTTTGTTTGTTTGTTTGTTTGTTTTAAAATTTTAAGATAGGATCTGGCTAAGTTCCCAAGCTGGCCTCAAATTTGTTATCCTCCTGCCTCAGCCTCCCAAGAAGCTGAGATTATAAGCATGTGCCACTGTGCTTATCAGGATTTGTGTTTTTATATTTGAATGTATTTCTTATTTGAATATGATCTGCATGCCACAGTAGAGTTTTACCTCCAAATCATGCCATTAGCATCTGTAGATAAATAGGCCCAGCAGTAGCCCACAGTAGGTATATGCTTTGGCATTCACAGTGACAGGTGGAAATTCCAGCCCTACCACTTGAGAACTATTCATGAAAGTCTCTTAACTTCTCAGACCTTTGCTTTCTTCCCTCCAACTTTGCCTCTTGTTCAATACCAGTATCATTATATAGTTTACCTTTTTATTGTTTCATATCTTCTTTTTTGGGGGTACCAGGGATCGAACTTGGGACCTTGCACTTGTGAGGCAGGTGGCAGAACCACTGAGCTAAATCCCCCGCCCCTGTTTCATATCTTCTCTGAGAATATGTTGGCATAAAAGGCCTTCTCGTAGAAAACACTAATTGAGACTAGTTTGTGTCATCTAAGATGAGTAGGTGACTGACAATTCAAAAATTTTTACAAATACCTAATGATGTTGATAATCTACTCATGAATAATTAAAGGTGTTTATAATGGAAAGCCCATATACTTTATAAAGGATTCCCAAAAGTGTATACTACTGACTGATGAATTCTTTCACTTGAGCCAACATGGGCTGTTGAATTAACTCACCTGGATGATAAATTATTTTAGCCATTATCACTTACTGAATGCATTCAAGTGTCAGGCCTGGCCAGAACCCCTCCAAGCAGCTCTGGGGACTTGGTATTGCTGTTCCTGTTTTACAACTGAAAACACTGCACCCAAAGGTTGAGTGGCTTCCGGCAGCAGTGAGTGGAAGAGCTGTGACTTGGCCAGGTCTGTCCACGTGAAGCCTGGTTCTTTCCCACCCCAGGAAGCCCTCCCAGGCCAGCCACCTTCTGTTCCGCATGTCTAAGCACAGCGTGCTACTGAGATGGGTAAGAAGAGAGCATTCGGGACTAAGGTGACAGCACA